GAGGCAACCGGTAGGTAAACCGTGCCCCCCGTGGCCACTGGCGCCCGGCCGTTACAGCGCACAGGGCCGCGGCGCAGCTGGGTCCGCCTCCGCGGCCCGGCCTCCCCGCAGGGTAACCGGCTGGTTAAGCCTGCCGTGAGCCCGGGCTTTGCGGCCGAGTGACAAGGAAGGCTCCGCGAGGCCGGGTCAGATCCGTTGGGCTTTGTTGGGGCCGGGAAGCCATTTTAGGATCCTGCGGTGTTGCATGGAACGGCGTGTTCCTGTCCGCCGGACCGCGCTTGGAGCTCGGGCCGCCATCGCGGAACCGAGGTAACCTCCGCCCCCAATCCTCCTTCCCCTCCCTCCCTCCCCGGTGCAGTCCCTGGCGCCGAGAACCGGCCGCGCCTCCACCGCCGACCATCCCGCTGGGCCCGAGGCCTCGGCCGGGAGCTCCCCGCCTGTGCTTCGGTCTGCGGAGCCTGGCGGGGAGGCCTCGGGCAGCGGCCCGGTGGGGCTGTGCGCGAAACTCCCTGTATTGGCCGAGTCGTGGGGCGGGCGGGAAGCTCCCGGCTTTGAAGTGACTCGGTGTGCTGCCGTGCGGTGCTTCGGGTGCTGTGTGTGAGTGTGAACAATGAGCAGGCGTATTTATTCTTTCACCGCAGCTGGATGTATAGCTGGCTGCTGTCAACCTCCCTTCCAAAAACCGTGTGAAGGGCTACTTACTGTGAATATGCAGTGCTGCTGCTCTGTGAAGAACCTCCTTTTGTTATTAGCATTGCAGCTGGGCACCTGCGTTTGACAGTGTTTGTCAGTGGTAACATCTAGCTTAAAATGTGAATTTTATTACTTGCATTTCTTCTGTTTATTTGCTCTTGTGTTTTTGTTTTAAATGAATACTAATGTCTTAAGAATGTGTTAATATAAAACATTGATTTACCTTGGAGCTCTTTGCTCTTCAGCCTGTTTAAACCAGTAGTTAGTTGGGTATGTGGAAACATTCTTCGTGGAGTATATTTACTTGGGAATTTAGCTTTAAAAAAAAAATATAATTTTTGGTTATTCGAGGTAATAGTAGAAGCCAAAAATGGAATTACAAGTAAAAACTGGCTTGCTTTCAGGAACTGATAGGGTTGCATATGCCAGTTTCATTGTTATTAATAATTTGCCCAGTGCTCTGCTTAGCTGTTGTGGCATTAGTATCTTAAATCATCATGACTTAAACTTCATCTACTTGCTTTAAAAGGTAAGGATAGAATAGGTTCCACTTGAAGTAGTACTGCCAGCAGCTCTCAGACTTTAAATGTTGGGTAGGGAGTTTGCCCTTTGTAATGTTTAAAAAAAAAACCAAAAAACCAAAAACGACATGCTGTCTTTTAAACTTTCTTCTTCTGTAACAGACTTCCTGGAGAATATTTCTACTCTGTCAGGGTACTGTTTGTGAAATAGCAATTTATTGCTTCCTTTGTGATAAAGGGTGTTTGTGAGCAAATGCACTGATAATGTTTGTGGAAGTCTGTGTAACCCAAAAGATGTATTTGTAGGGTGCTTGTAGTGTATGTACAGTGTGTGTTTGGTGCTGCACCTCCTTCCCTGTGATGCTTCTGTGCCTAAAAGCCACTATTAGAGCATCTCATCACCTTCCATGAAAGCCAGGAAGTTTGCTGCAGCTGTACTAGGGTTTAATTGAGGCTGTCTGATTCTGAAAGTGATTTTCAAATAAACTGGCCTAAGAGGCAGTGGTGCAGTCTCATTCCCCCCTGCCCAAGCAAGTAAATGTGCCTCTTCCACAGGAATGTGGAAATCAGCTTTTAAGTTGAGGTACATCTGCTTGAATTCTAGCTGAAATCTGTGCTTCTCTTTAATTGCCTTTAGGTTTTCTTATTGGAGTTTTTTTAGTGTAACTGCATGCTCTTTCACTGTACATCCCTTAGTACTTAGATGTTTGTGGGCTTCTGAAGAAGGAAAAAAGGCTATGAGTTTCGGCCCAAGAGTGCTTACAATAAAGCTGATACTAAAAGATTACCTGAATCTGAGTCCAGACAGATCTGCGGTGCCAAAATCAAAAATCTGCTGGGCACCCATAAGTGTTTAAAGTGGAACTAAATACTGTGCCTACCTCTCAGGCTCGCTCCTAAGTTTTTCTGGTTTTGAATTTCAAAAATATTTTATTAGCATGTCTTTTTCTGTTCTGGTTGTGTGTGAAAGTTTCATAAAGGAGAAGAATATATGAAAGGTGGAGTGCTGTTAAACAGTAGTGAAAAAATTAGAGGGAGTTACTGGCCTCCACCTACCCCTAGTCTGTCCTGTAGTTTAATGTTCTGCTGTGATAAGTATGTAGAATATTGCTAAATAAATTGGGTTAATCATTTATTTAGCATATTTTATTTTGAAGAGATGGGTAACTAAAATCAAGCTGTTTAAATAGTAGCTAGGTAAAAAAAAATAAAATACCCAGTTCTGTAGTAAATTTGAGATGCTTTTTTGAAAAGGGTGGTGGTTATCTCTGAAGATCAAGTTTGTTAAGGCTGTTTTGTTGCTTTGAAGAACAAGTAAATATCTTTTCCCTTTGAGTCTGAATTAACATTAGAGCATGAAATGAACAGTGAATTAAACCAAGCCCCCAGATCTTCTAAGGGTGATTTCTAACTATACAGTGTTTAGATGGCAAACCTGCTCTCTGTACAGGACAATTTGTGCTAAGAAACCAGGTGTTAATGAACCTACACATAAAAACCTTCAGGCCTTTTCAGTTAGCAGTGCCATTGTCAAGTACATGTTTTATATAATACTAACTTAATGGTGTATTTCAAACCTCATCAGATCAGAAATTCAATGTAAATTCTAGCATTTAATTTCTTCAGAAATCAAGTGAAGAGAGAACTGGGAGGGGAAGGGGGAAAGGCATGAAAGAAACCAAACCAGTATGTTGTTCAAAGTCTGCCCTGCCCATATGGGTAACAGAATTAGGGAGAGGGGTTGAGTGGCTGCTGAAAGCTCGCTCTCTTGGCCTAGCTTTCCACATGGGGAAATACCACTGAATGTCAAAAGCATTCAATCAGCTACTGAGATACCAGTTAAAAACTTAGTTTATTGATGGAATTTTGGGTGCTAAGCAGTCAAGGTCAACTCCACTGTAAACTGAACAGAGGTTTCCCTAACTGGTGGTTTCAGAATCTTTCTGCTGGGATTAACCAATTTAAATAGATTAACCTTAATCATAGTTTTGAATTTCAGTAGGCATATATCTGAGGAATCTGTTTTGCTGCTGTTTAAAACAAATGCTGTCTGAGTTACGAACATCCCTCATCTTGACATTCACCTCATTTCTGCTTTTGTTGCTGGGGAATCATTACTTTGGGGTCCCTGTTTCCTATGTTCTCAAATGAGCTCTTATTTGTTAAAGTATGGCAGCAGCAGTTACGCATTCTAGCAGTATTTACTACTTACTGTAGCAAGAGAGTTTGACTGCTTTGTTAATACTTCCACACACTGATTTAAGCTTTCTCTAAACAAACAACAAATGTTATAGACAAGCCAGTGAAAGCATTAGGGCTCTGGGACAGATGAAGTGTAGAGAAAGATCACTTAATGGAGATGCTTTTTCTACTGCTAAATAAATGTCTGTAATGCTAAAATAAAAAAAAAAGATGTAACTAGCAGAAGTGAGACCTTATTTTTCACTAACCCCACAAATGCATGAGAGGTGCTTGCATTCAGAAAGCTACAATGGTTAGGCCTGTATGTCTTGATTTTTAAAAACAAGAAGGAGACTCTGTCTTCAGTAGTGATGGAAATAACATCCTGCCTTTCCGACGTCAAGATTCAGAGGCTGCAGGTGGACTAAGAGCATTTTCGTGTTACATGGAGAGATTTCTTTTTGAGCTGCCCCTCTCTGTACCTCTGACTCTTTTTTTGTCTTTATTTCCAATGCGTATGTAGCTATAAAATGAAAGCTCTTTATTTCAGCAGAGTGCATCTCCAGAATGAGATACTTGTTGATATTGTTATTATAAAATTAAAGTGTAGCTGGGCATAGTATTACCTAAGTCTAGGTGTATCATAACAGTTGTGTAAAATATTGTTTGCTGCTGCTTAAACAGGAGCCACAGATAACCTAAAAATAGCTGGGATTCCGTTTTGCTGAACACGCCAGTGTAGCATAGCCAGATCCCTACTTGTTAACCTACTGTCTTTTCTAGAAAAGCAAAACTTTTCTGAGGTTAATAAAATTCAGAAGGACTCCACGTTTTGTTTGGAAAGTATTTTAAACTTGAAAGTCAAATTGCATATAATACCAGAAGTAGTCACTCATACAGCTCTGCAGATTTATTGGGCAGACTACATTACTGTGTTTTCTTCATGAAGCCTATATATAAAAATACCTTCCAAAAGCTCCAGGGAAAGTTTTACAAGTGTTGGTTGCGGGGTTTTGTTGTGTTGTTCTTGGGTTTGGTAATTTTTTTCTTTTGTAATTGGATGGCACTCTGGAAAATGTGCCTAATTGTAACCATGGGAGTGACTTTGCAGTTGGCTCCTCTGCTGGGGTGTGTATTCAGTGTGGGGTTTGTGACAGGAATAAATTAACTCATAGAAAATATTACAGACTGATGTGAAATGAAGAGGAGTCCCTTGCTGCTTAGTGGATGGTGTTCAAAGGTAGTAGAGTAAAACCTTTCTTAGGTTTCTTCTGTGTTAGGCTTTGGTGCACAGCACAGCCCATGCTTTGCTTTCAAAGCAAAAGTCATTGCAAAGAGGTCTCTGAAAGCCTGGCTACATGGGGTTTTTAGTTTTCAAACTTAGTTTTTTTGGGTGCTGCATGACTCAGTTCCTATGGAAGCACTGTAGGACGGTTGTGATATGAGCTTGGCTCATATTACAGTAAGGTTCCCGAGAACTTGGAAATTGCAGAAAACAACATCATAAAGAAAGTTGTGCTCACAAATACACTGTGCTTCATGCAATACTGGGAAGGGATCTCCAGCCCCAGCAGCAATACTGCTGAAATGCTGAGCACTCCATAGTTCTGGTAACAGTAGCTGCTTTACTTCAGTACTTGCAAACACAGGCTGAACAGTGCAAGGGCTCTTACATTGGCTTTGTGTACTTCTAAGTCGTTGCATTACTTTTTTTTCCACCTTTTACAGTATGATTTGAAACAGTCAACATGGACTTTTCACGTCTACACACGTATACTCCTCCCCAGTGTCTGCCAGAGAACACTGGCTATACATATGCACTCAGGTGAGAATTCTTTTCTTCTTGTAGAGAAAACTGCATGTTCTCTCATTGTTGTCAATTCCCGAGAGTTCAGCTTTTATGGTAAGTAGCTGACTTCTTTGGAGAATCATGCTTCATCTAGTCTGTTTTGAAAGTAACTACTGTGTCCTAACTGGAGGAAAGAATACATGTAGAACTGACAGGACAGTGACTAACATAGTGACTCAGTGTTTATTAGTTGCTATGAATAACTAGTCTCCGCCTAGTTACAATTGCTGGTTTATTTCTATAAATACATCATCAAAACTCTTAGATGCTTTGTTGTGTGTCTTGTAACTTCTGTGTGTGTTTTCTTCTGCTACTTGGCACTATTTTTGCTTTAAAACCGAGACACATTCATTTCTGCTGTTGTGAAACTTGGCTGGAAGTTGTATATTGATTACTTTTATTGTTTGTTTTGTTGGGTAGGTTTTTGGTTTCTTAGAAAAATCGCTTGTGTGAATGTAAAATCTGTTGTAATGATCTTGGTTGTTCTTATATCTTTTCATTAAATAGACCATTTTAGACTTTTTATTAAATAATTTCAGTTTTCTAAAAACAGTAGTAGTGTGATTGCATGTGTTGGTATTATGTATTCAAAATGTTGTGATGCCCATTTGATTTTCTTTACTATTAATAGAGTAGATTATGGCATCTGATTTATTCTACCTACCTTTTCCTGTTGAGTTAGTAGATGTATTTTGAAGCAAGTATGTGTCAGTGAGCCTGAGATTTCAAGTTAAGTAAATTGTTTGTTAGGGTGTAGTGTAAGTTTGCTTTTCTATTCTGTGCATGTAAATAATTATTTACTTAATGTGCATTAAAATACAGTATTCAGACTGAAGAATTCTTGGCTATTTGTCAGTAAAATAGTAGTCAAAGCTGTAAAATTAAGAGGTTGCTAACTTATTCTTGCTGTTGTGGGCTCTTAAAATTGAAGCATCGTTATTTGGGGGGGGGGACACCATGATGGGTTGTTTTGCTTTTTTAGCTATAGCCTGATGTCAGTAGTGTTGCAAAATGGGATATGTTCTACGTTGCATCAATTATATAGCAACTCTTCCTGAATTTACAGAACACTGTTAAAATGTTGGTTAAATACAAGTGGGTTTACTAATTCTGAGAGAAGATGACTTATGTGCCTTTTATCAGCCGGCAGATTCACTATTATATTACTGTGTGCTTTTAGATAGCTCTGTGTTGAAGTGTACCTTGGTCATTGGCTGACATATATTAGCTCTTCTGCAGAGGATAACTTTCCCCATTGTGAGCAGTGAAGGCAGACTTTTGAATCTTCAGGTTGTTTAGACAGTGATTTTTATGTCTCTATGAGCATATCTTAAAACAAGCTGTTAAACTGGCATCTGATTTTTCTCCTTCCTTGTTGTATTTGTAAGGTTTTTATAAAGCAATAGGCTTGTGCATGTAGTACTGCAGAAAAAAGTACAGAGAAGTTAGATACCACAAAGCTATTACCAGGCCTGTTAATACAATTTATATTAATATTTGCTTGGATTACTGTGTGTTCATAACTGTTTGTAGTGCCTTCTGCTTTGTGTTTTTCCTTCTCCAGCTCAAATCAGCAAACTATTAAACTGATACAGCCAAATGACCTTTATCCTCCTCAAAATGCCAGTCAGCCTTGTGAATTTCACCCACTTGTCAACGTATAATTTACACCCCTCCTTTAGAGTGATCTTTCCTTTTAGTCACTGTCATCCTTGAATTGTGTGGGTTTGGTCAATTTGGGTACCTTAACACTTCTTTTTTCTTCACAACTATGGATTGAATTGGTAAGAATTTGGTTTGATTTTTTTTTTTTCTGTGTCAGAGCATTAAATCAGGGTGTAACTTTCTGCAAAATGAATAAAATCCTTTGTTTTTTTGATGTTTTAGGTTTTTTTGGGGGGTGGTGTTTTTTGAAGTGTTCAGTGATGATCGGTGCAGTAGGTCAGGCGCTCAAGGAAGTAGTGTCTTTAATCAGTTAATAAAAGTAATGCCATTATCAGAAAGCATGTAAATGTTCATGTATTGATTGTGTGCCTGTGCATCTGTGTTGGAAGGTGTCTATTTAAACACAGTTCTCTTAGGTATATCTCATTTATCTATTATTGTCTTGGATAATGAAGTATATAGGACTGCCCTTTTCATATCCTTATAAATGACAAAGTCCTCCAGACGAAGCTATAGCTGTGCTAAAATTGGCCGACCTTGTTCTCATTCAACTTTTAAAACTTGAAAATCAACTCACTGAAGTCTAGGACATTCTTACCCGTGGAAGCTTGTGTGAAGGAGGTGTCAAGTTAATAGCTAAGAAGCTGGAAATGTAAGGCTTGATCCAGTCAGCACATCTGCCAGTAGCCATGGGAGCTGCGTGTGTGGGAAGGAACCGGAGTCTGCACTGTCTGTGTAGGTTATCTGGGAGTGTAGGCTATCTGGGAGTGTAGGCTGATGGCATCACATCTTTACAGTAGTTTTTTTTTTGGTTAGCCATACGTATGGATAGGAGTACCCCTAATGTACAGGTTAATTTCCTATGAAAGGAAAGACAGGGTTTTGTTTTGGGTTTTGTTTTTTGTTTGTTTATTGTATCTTTTCTGTAGTAGAAAAAAGGCTGCTTTCCAAACTGGGGAGACTTCTGGATAGTGTCCTGCCAACCTGGGACAGAGAATTCACTTTCAGTGTGAAGAGAATGATTATCCTGCATAAGAGAGAAGGTCTCTTACAAAAAGAGGAGATGATCCATGATTTTTTTTTTACTTTTTTTTAAGACTGGTAGAGCCCAACTCTGAGGTATGTGTTCAACCCAAATTGATGTAAGTGCTCCCTGAGATACTGAACAACAGCACATGTTCACAAATAGACACAAATTGAGGCTGGTCACAGCTGTCAGCTTGTCCTGTGGACTTTGTGTTCTTGTGAATCGAGTATCTGAGAGAAACACTAGGTGGAGATAAGGAAAAGCAAATGCATAGTAGCAAGTGTAAATAGCAAAATTGAGCTCTGAACCAGCTGTTCAGGGAGAGACTGTGTAGTAAAATCTTAAGGAGGTTTCTGCCTTATTTCCTCTCTCCCTTCCACCCAAATGTAAGCAAGGATTAATAAACATACTGTATATAGTAATGTATGTTGGGTTTGTCTTAGTGCCCTGCATGGGGTTGCACTGCATGTGGCAGCACTGGCAAGGCAGACCAGTAAGGTCAAGCAGGTGGTGCCAAGGACCTGCCACTAAATCTGTGCACCTCTGGGCGATCGAAGAAATTATGTTGGACAAGCTCTGGTTTGGTCCTGGTCTGCCCATTTGCTGCTGAAGCCAACTGTATTTTCCTGCAGTGCGTTGTACGGGTTAGGCTGGGTTTTTTAGCCAAAAGAAATGCAGTTCATGTGCTTTGGCACTGTCTCATTTTGCGTGCTTTACTTTGCATTATGCAGCAATGAAGAAACTCACTTGAGAAGCACCTGCCTTGTCAGAATTCAGTTGCTGCTGTAAGGGCAGCTGCTAGGCCTTCTGATGTTAACTTATTTGTATGCCAAAGTAGTAACAATACACACCAGTTCATTGCTTGGTAAGGTTCTGGGCACTTTAATGAAGAAAATTATTTCCAATAAATTGCTTTTCCACAAATACAGGATATAGTAGCTGTTTACATGTAATTTTAAAGGGACAGCTTCCATTTTTAAATAGAGATTGCATACTAGACTCATTCAGATGTAATTTGCTTGCTTGTTTTTGTTTGGATTTGGGGTGAAGGAGCTGCTATTGTTATTAATACCTTGCTCAGCTCTTAAAAAAAAACAAAACAAACCCACAAAACCCAGAAAAAACAAATGAAGAAGAAATTAAACCCCCCAGGAATATTGAGGACCTGCTGTTACAGCTGTGTATGTCCCTGTGGTCCAGGAAGGGACAGACTCTTCAAGAAAGCTGGCCTAGAATGCTTGGAATTTGGTTACTGTGGGTCACAGTGCTGAGGGGTCTAGAACCTGGTGTCCTGCTGCCAACCACCTCATCTCTGTTTTTTAACTGAATATTTCCCTTGATTGTAAGCGTGAGTATTCTGCTTTAGGCTAAACTTCCATTTTAGTATATGTACTTCTTGCTGACTCCTTTGTTTAATCTGTTTGTGTTTGCCTTGTGTTGCTGCTTTGTTTTCATTGCAAGTGTTCATGGAGGTTCTGAAAGAATCATGTGTAAAAGTGTGGAGTAGAGCTCCTGAGGTAATAATTTGAATCTTCTCTACATGTAAACTTGCTCTGTAAAGTAAAATTGATGAAATACTCCATTTTTTTAATTATTTGCATTAAATGAATAAACCTTGTGAAAATACTTTTTCTAAAAGTAATGGTATTTAACCTAACATAGCTAAAGTAGGGAAGTCTTAAGTTTCTTGAAGAGAGGAAAGTTCGGGCTTGTTGGGAGATGGGAATTTTGGAGTAGTGTTGTGTGTATATCTTTGGTTCTCAAAACAGGGGATTGGGAAATGAAATAAAAAATAAACTTTGGCTAAAAATGAGTATTTACTTTGCAACTTAGAGTGCATCATGATTTTTAATTTGCTGCTAGGTGTGTCGTGTATGGCTTCCTCTCTCAAATTGGTCCCCAAAGAACTAGGCTGCGTAACAAATGCTTTTCTGGCTAAACTTCAAACATGGTTTTCGTAATGGTTGTTTCTTTCTGTGATTTCCTTTCAGTTGTAAAAGTGTAATGTGAATTGCTAAAGATAATTTTGAATATCTATATACTTCTAAATTACTTGGGTTATGTGGTATATCTTGTGAGAACTTTTCCATAACTCCAAATAAACTGCTTTTAATGGAAATGTGGATTAGCTTGAAGGCGTGTTTGTTACTAAGGGAATTCTCTCTTACTTTTGTTACTGTTCTTACTTGGCAGTTCAAGTTATTCTTCAGATGCTTTGGACTTTGAGACAGAAAACCAAATAGATCCAGTATTTGATTCTCCAAGAATGTCACGACGTAGTTTACGGTTAGCTCCTGCAACACTTAATGAATCA